GGTAAACTATATAACATAGTGTTAATCAAGCACACTTATACAACTACATAAAGTAACATTGACACCAACAAAAGGGTCCCTCTACCTGCTTGCATCCCCTCCTCCAATCTAGCCTTGACTATTCTCATACAATAAATGATCATTACAGTCCAAATTACGGGAAAACAAAAGAATAAGTTAGAATTCAAAAACATGAAAGCATAAAAAGTAATTATATATCGTACAACATCATACCAAAAATATTTGAAAGATAAAAACTCCAAAACTAACATATATCTCATCCAACCATGTCAAGAAGACATCCAACAATGCATATAAACACACCACAACATACATCATATACATACATCTCAAATAATGCATTGTTACGCATTTACTTACAAAGATCTTCTAACAACATGAGCAGTCTAAGTGACTTCATCGTACTAAACCAACTCAATTGTTTTCGTGCCTAAAGTATCGGCTCAATCACAGTAAAATAGGATAACAATCCCTCTTCTAGTTTCTCAAATTTTATCACTTGTACTATGAAAGTTTGTTTCACTGTTAGGAATAATATAAATAGGCATAGGCTTACCATAACTTTGACATGCATTTTTCTTAAAATGTTTTTTTCTTAAACCCTAAACCCTAAACTTCTCAAATAATTGTTTTTCTTAAAAAATACATATTTAGAAGCATTTTTTTAAGTTTAAACAAACCGACCCATAATTTATTAGTGCTCATGGTTCAATAAGATTCCTAGATTTTTCAAATTCATTTTTATGATCAAAGAATAAGTCTACTTATACTTATTCCACTCGATAACTTTGTTTTATATTAAATTTGATCAATTCAAACATTAAATTAAAAATTCTTAAAGCATAAATTAAGTATGCAAATACTTAAGAAATTTGAAAACTATTTCATATCCCGTTTCATTATTCAAATTGATGGATATCATAAAAGCACTTTTATACATTGATTTTAATTTATATAACAAAATATCGAATAGATTTTAAATTTTTTAAAAAAAATTGTAAACTTATCTATATATTAAATTTTTTTAATTAAATAGTTGGATCATTGGATTTCGATGTAAAACATAAGTTATTAAGTGAAGTAAGTTTAGGTAAACTTACTCTTAAAGGTGTCAAAATGAGTCAACCAGGTTTACACCACAAGTTTGTGCTTTAAACGGACTAATCCAACCTAACTCACTTTTTGGTGAGCCAAAAAAATTTCAACCCGGCTCGACCTACCACGGATTGGTGGGTTAGGTAGGATGTCTCACCAAAATTTTTTAAAATAAAAAGTACAAAAATTAATTACATGTTTCTATTTTTAATAAATAAAATAAAGAATTATAATTTTTTATATCTAGAAATCAAGTCTATCATTGATTCAAATATAAATACATAATAAAATATCAATCAAAATTTCAAATAAAAGTTACATAAAATATAAATATATTTTTCTTATCATTTTTAAAATAGTGAGTTAAACGAACCAACTAAACTCACTTAAACTCTAACTTATTTGACTCATGGGTTAAGTGAGTCGGGTTGCAATTTAGCCAAAATCGGCAATTATTTTCCTAATCTAGCCTAGCCCAAACCATGGTAAGTCAAGTTGACCCACCGGATTTGACACTTGTACTTACTCTTGAAATAAGTAAATCCTTCATCTCTCTTTATATATAGAAAAAGGATTCATTTATTCCAACAAGTAAGTTTTGGTAGACTTCAATAACTTTTCTACATTAATTTTCAACGATTCAATCATTGATATATAGATCAAATCTATAAATTTTTAAAAAAAATTAAAAAACATACAATATTTTTGTATATAAATTTAAATCAATATATAAAATATTTATATAATTATCTATCAATTTGAATTAATAAAATAAAATTAATAAATATTTTTTTTTTTTTACTATCGTTGGTACTTTTGAAATTCTTTATTTTATACATATCACATTGATTAATTTATTTAAATATTGCCCATTAGTAAGAGTAAAAGAGTATCAATTACTAGTATAAAAGATCACATAATAAGTTACATGTCAATAAGATATTTTAAAGTGCACAATTTACCGTCAATTGGTAATGTTATAAATTATGTTTGAAATTATTTTTCCTCCCTCATTTAAATATGTTCGAATATTGTGGCAAAATAAATTACTTTTTTTTTATCAATAATTTTTTAGGTGAAAACTAAATATACACAATTAAGTAATAATATAGTAACTTAAAGTTTGGTGGGGTGATTTGTGGATTGTAGTGGTTAAAAGATGTTAAAATTTTGTGCAATAAATGAAAGTAACAACTTAATATGTCATGAATGTGTTAATATGGGGCACGTGTTTGGTGTGTTGGCTTGAAGAGTTTTGGATATTCGTGAAATGTTTTTATCATAGTTGTTGTAGAAGGTTCAAGTAAATCATGACTATTTTCTTTGTATAGTTTGAATTTTGTATGTGTAAATTTTGTTTTTAAAATCAGTGTATATCTTATATTAACCGACTCTCATATTGAAATTGTATACTTAGATGTACATTTTGAACACCGCACTCGTGAATAGTAAAATAAAAACTATTCTCCATGATCCAAAGTCTCAAACTTATTTTATTTTTATTTATGCACTTAATTTTCTTCATTTTGTTGATTTCAATTTAATTTCCTTTATCTCTATCTTTAACTTAAATTTCAATAAGTTTTTTAAAAGATTGTCAAATTTTCAACAAGTCTCTTAAAAAGATTGTTGATAATTAAAGACATTATATCATAATTTAAAATATTTATTATAAATCTTAGATATAACACATGAATTGAAAAATATTTATTTATCATTATTTTTAATTTTAAATAATATATTTCTCTTTAATAATATCCCATGATTATTTAAATTATTATTTTGGTTTTTGAGTTATAAGTAATCATTAAAAAACTTGTCTTACACCGGTAGTTTGAGGCACAAACGCTTATATTGTGTCATTGAGTCTAGCACTCTTTTAGAACAGATATGTCATGGTCGTGCCCGGATATTTTGGTGGATTGTGTTTGCACAAATTGGACGCATTTTCATCGTTGACATTTACAAAATTGACATTATATCTCCATCTTGATGCATGTGACTCAACTGTTTTAGGGTTTTTTTAAAATAAAATATATATATTAATAAAAACAAAAACAAGAAAGAGAAGATTTGAAATTTTAAAAAAATTAAATCTTGATAAAAAAATCATAAATAAAAAATAGAGAATTTGAGATTTTAAAAAAATAATAATAAATCTCAATAAAAATAGAAACAAAAAGGAGAAGATTTGAGTTTTTTCTTTTAAAAAAGAAAAAAATCTCGTTAAAAACAAAAATGAGGAAAGAAATATTTTTCAACTCTCTTTACTTAATTTTCACGTAATAGAAAATAAAAAATCTTAATAAAAACATAAATAATAATAAGAGATTTCGATATTTAAAAAAAATATTTTGAATTATAATACTTTTTAATAATTTATTTTTGAGACTCAATAAGTTATTATCAAATTCATATATATTTATTTTTGTTATGTTATTTATATTATATTATATTATATATATTATATATATATTACTAAGTATTATACCATTTAATAACCTTATATTAAATGTGAATTTTGTAAATTTAACCGTTAGATTGAAAGTTTTTTACTTCTAAATCATATATACAAAATTTTATATTAATTCAAGATGATTTGATACTTCATTCTTATAAAATAAAATTGACGTAATATATTCATTTCAAAATATACTAAAATATGAACACTTTGATTACCTTCAAGTTCTTATTTAATTTTAACAAAATTTGATATACACATATAAAGTGATATGAACTTTTAATCTAACGGTTGTATTTACAAAATTCACATTTAATATAAAGTTATTGAGTGGTGTAATACTTAGTAAAAGTTACATAGGTGTAATTATAAACCCCCCTCTCTCTCTCAATATATATATATTTATTTATTTTTATTTTTTTTGGTGTTCACATATTTTTTTTCTTTCAATTTTATCATATCTCCGTATCTGTATATGTGTGATGTCATTTCCGAACCCGTTCTACATTGGTTTGAGGTGAAGTGGAGATTCTGGAGAATACAAGTCCCACTTTTAGGTGAATAATAGTTATACAATTTCACCCTGGTATCTGCTTCTTCAATATGGATATGGGTGAGTGTGTCAAATAGTGGTCAGAAAATATGTCTCATTAATTTCATAAAAGAGATATTCTATGTGCGTAACGATGTCTGAAATGCGATACTAAAAACCTAAGTTTGGGCTGGCCGAATTTAACGAATTAGAAACACGAATCATATTTATTTATAATTAAATTAAATGATCAAAAAATATAAAGATATTTTTTTATCAACAAAATATAAAGATATTTGAATATATAATTTCGTTGAGATTTTTTGTTTTAATTTACAATGGAATTTCAATCATTCACATTCTATACTTGATATTCATTCACATTTAGTCCTTATGGGCAAAAATTCCAACATTTGATTCTCGCAAAACTTTCATTATATTTTCATCCTTATTACTTGAATTCGTTATAACAACGTTAAACAAATACTGATGTATGTACTGAAAGTCTAATCATGTAAACAAATGCTGATGCATGTATTGAAAATCTAATCACGGGATATGTAAATCATCCGTCGAATGTTCAGTTTTAGTTCTCATATGAAATTAATATTACGTCTTAAACTTTTCATAAAATCAACATTACATGTTAGCCCTATATATGAATTAAAACCTACTGCTATCTAATGTTTACTACCAATCCTATATAACAATAATATTAAAGGTTAATTATTTATAAAAATAATAAAAAAAATGAAGCTAAAAAAAAAATTTATTATCTGATCCGAACCAATCTGATTTTTTTTTCTCGAATTGATCAGATCCTTAACCACCCCTAACTTCATCCCTCGTGTTTTTAAAATGGTATTGAAATGAGATGCAATTTTTTTAACCAAACATGAAAATTCCTTATTCCATAAAATGGAAAGATGATTGCCATAACAAAGAATATGCAAGGGATAAAAGAGGGGTAACCTAGGCAAATTATACAAGGCAGAATTTGAGAATGCTACAGCATAAAAGTGCTAAAAATTGAGAAGATTTTAATACAGTCGTTGCAAAGCACAGATAACCAGCACAATATTGGGTTGCTTGCCCATATCCATTTACAACAAGCTACACTGCGAACACCGGACTCAGACCAGACATTGAACTATGAGTCTATGATTGACTCTGGACCTCTAATTCAAAACTCTGTTGGAGGCTTTAACCTTATCAGTCTTTTGATTCTATCCTTTTCTGTGTTTTCCAAATATCCCTTCAAAACATACAAACAGAAAATGTCAACCAAAGCGTCAAGAAGAAAATTGCTCTCTGCTGTGCAACAATGGAACATAGAAGTTAGATACATTTGGATTCATGGTACATGAAGTAAACAGTTACAAAAAGGATTCGAGTGTCTAGTGCAAGGGTATCCAAAAGCCATTTAAGGTACCAATCACACGCATAGCAGAAGATAATATCTAACTGATGGGCCTAATGTAAAACAAATGACCCTACCATATAAAAGGATGTATAACATGGAAATTTGATGAGTTCCAAAGGCAAGCAGATTGAGTAAACTGACAAAATTTCAAAAACTCTGGTTCTTGTTATTTTGTATAACTGAACCTGTTCATGCCTCCTTACCTGCCATACAATTTCATCTAAACACAAGCATATTCTTCCATACTTGTCAAGGAAAAGGCGCTCACTTGGGGGCTTCCCACATACATCCTTCACAGCCGAGGTTAACACAAAGATCACTTCTGACACTGGAGAAAAACAAAAAAACAGCAGATATATAAATTGTAAATTACTCCACAGCTCTTGAAATGTCCAGTTTCCAGCCAAGGTGAAATAAAGCATAGTGCTAAAAAGGCAAATGCCAACATGTAATTATTCGTTTTCATCATAAGCCAAACAAATGCATGCACTAAATGTAGAATCCAAAATCTATCCCTTAGCAGTTAACCTGACTGCTAGTTTTTCTAGCAACATTCTAGAAAAGGAATTTTTCCTGCCAATAGTTAATATTCCTATTATCTAAATAATAAAGTGAAGGGGGAGCTTTTCATCTTTAGTTTTTGTCCCAAAACCTATGATCTCATCTTATCATAACGTCTGTTAGACAAATCAATATATATATATATATATTGCAGGGTTATCTAAAAAATATAAAATTGAAATTCAGCTTTCAATAATTACATTTAACTCTCTCTCCACAACTCTCACCGTACACCACTGTTTTTCTCCATTACTGAACTCTTAACTCCAGTATCTCACGATTCATGTTTCCTTTTCATCATAAATAATCTATTGTTTCTTATCATCCTATGCACACATATCTATGTGTATCCCCCTTAACAGTAGCAACCTAAATGAAGAGTCTTAGTCACTACTGTCTAGTGTAATCAGTTAAGCATATTCATTTCAAAGCTCAAGAAAGAAACAAGAGAGAGAAAGAGAGAGCTGGTAGCTTTATGCAAATTTGCCAAATATACCCTTCTCTGCCGATATTGAAATCTAAAACAAGTGAGCCTAATGACTCGTCATCATACTTTAATTTTACAATCAACATTATAAAACACTGATTCCATGAATACATACAAGCAAGTTCATCGTACTCGTCCTTGCCCACGACATAGATGCTGACATCCCCAAGCACCGTGTATACAATATAAACTGACCTGATGCAAGGAAAATGTACAAGTACCATAGCATCATAAGGAACTAAACAAGCAATTTTCTACAACAAGGAATACAAATGAACAACAGTTGGTAGCAAAAGGTAAACTTGTTTCAACTTTCAAGTCAAATATCAGGTCTATTCTAGTAAGCAACTAATGTTATTCAGTTTGTTAATCTTTCTTGCAGTAACAATAAAGCAAGTGAAGAGTATAGTATACTGACTTGTGGCAAGCAACTAGGAGCTCTTCGTTTTTGACACCCTTAAGATTATCAGCTCCAAGCTTGACTAAGAAAGAACGCCAGTGTAGGCGCTCCTCTGCAGGAACTCCATGAAAACTGCAATGATGAAAATCAATATGTATGTTATGCAAGCATGACATGACATGACAGCATAAACAAAGGGGTTAAAGTTAACACAATCAAAAAATGTAGTGCAAATTCAAAGATAAGCAAATCCGGACTCTTAATATATACTTTTTTTTTTGGGGTCATGCATTGCTGTGAAGCATATAAAAGCAAAAGTAACTCTTTCCAACCACTTTTTTTTTTTTTTTTTTTTTCATTCATAAGACTAAATCGAGATCTGGACTCATAATATAATACCACATAATTAATTAAGCTTAATCTTGAACGCAGTAGTGAAAATCCGTATTATTGTTTAACAGAGATAAATGCCCCTTATACAAGATGCTTCAGAAAACAACTATGCCAACTACTACCACTACTTCTACGGTTCTAACCTTCCGATCAAAATCCAAGTCAAACCCATTTCGGATCCAAGCAAAATAAAGAGATTCGATCGGCAAAATAATAAGTGAAAAAAAAAATGATCGCAGCATGAGAAAATTGAGGTATTGGAGAAATTGATGGGGTTCTGAAGTAACCGAGCAAAAAAGAGAATTGGAAGAAAAGATGGATCTAAACGCACCGTTCGATGAGGATATTGCCCTCAGCGTTGGCAAACAGCACCGCAAGGATCATTTTCTCTATCTTTCTCCTTCTATTCTTCTTCTTCAGCTCTCCTATGTCCTCCTATCCCACCATTTCAAGGGTTCTGCTGTTAAATTACTTAAATACCCTCACATTTTATACGTTATTGATTATTCCTCTGAATGCAATGAGAAACTGGGAATTAGGTTGTTTATTTGCGTTTTCATTTTGTGTTTTTACCTATTATTTTTTTTTTAATTATAATTTTTTTGAATAATCATGGTGGTTAGATTCAAATTCTCTATAACTTGATTAAGCAGCACAAGCATCTACCATTTATGTAAATTAATATTACTTTTTTTTTGTGTTAGAGTAAAAAAAAAACTGGTTTTCACCTTGTGTTGTGTGCTCAGAATGGGATGGGAAAAAAATGAGAAACTATACTTACACATTAATTTATATAGATTTTCAACAAAAAGATAAATTATAGGAAGAGGAAGACTGTAAAATAAAAAAAAAAATCTGGTAAAATTATAAAGAAAATTTAAAAAAATATATAATTATAAGAATAATAAATCGTTCTTAAAAGAGACAGGAATGGTTATTTCATTCTCATTTAAGTAACTGAATTAATATGTAAAATACGCATGTTAAATATTTATTATAAATAATTAAAATTTATAATAAATTATATATAAATAAATATTATGTTTGAATATATAAATTATATTCAAAATTTATATAAATATTTAAATATATAAGTTATTTTTAAATTTATGATAAATA